CCTTTATGTTCTTTCAGTCCTGTATGAGTTTCTTTGTTCTGTTGAGTACAGAAGATGATATTTGATGATTTAAGATGAGAATGTCGGTAGCCACAGTTGATGGAAGCCATTGATAAAATTACTGTGAAGGACAATGGCTATAATCAACTGTCTAGTTACCAACATTCTCCAAAATATCTTCTGCTGTAGTCAACAGAACAAATAAACTCAAACTAGTTTGAAACAACATAAGGGTGAGTAAATGAGGAAAATTGTATTTTTTTTGGTCAACTATGCCTTTAATGTATGGCAGATTCAAGAACGAACATTTTCCTCTTAAACAACTAGGGTATAGCAAAATGGGATGAACAGTCCAAAACTAAGACTGACTAACTAAATTAATTAACTTTTCCTTAAAAAAAGAAAAAATAGAATAGAAAAACAAAACAACAAAAAAACACTGAAGCCGTCTCACAGCCTCACAGGTTTGAAACGGTAATTAGTCAACAAACATTCTCCATTCTTGAATGGCCTTTTTGTATGAGGGGGTTGCATCCTGCTCGTGGATGGCATCTCTCAAAAAAATAAAATACTTGGCACAGATTTACAGCAAATGTTCTGTGAAAAAAAATTAGCCTCAGTCTAGCTGCATACACAACCTCAAATGGCAGTCATTTAAGCTTCAAACAGCAATTACTGAATCAATGTACAGCATTAAAAAGATAGTGACCCAAAAATGAAAATTCGATCTTACTCACCTTTATGGTCTTTCAGTCCTGTATGAGTTTCTTTGTTCTGTTGAGTACAGAAGATGATATTTGATGATTTAAGATGAGAATGTCGGTAGCCACAGTTGATGGAAGCCATTGATAAAATTACTGTGAAGGACAATGGCTATAATCAACTGTCTAGTTACCAACATTCTCCAAAATATCTTCTGCTGTAGTCAACAGAACAAATAAACTCAAACTAGTTTGAAACAACATAAGGGTGAGTAAATGAGGAAAATTGTATTTTTTTTGATCAACTATGCCTTTAATGTATGGCAGATTCAAGAACGAACATTTTCCTCTTAAACAACTAGGGTATAGCAAAATGGGATGAACAGTCCAAAACTAAGACTGACTAACTAAATGAATTAAAACTTTCCCTTAATAAAAGAAAAAAAGAAAAAATAGAATAGAAAAACAAACAAAACAACAACAAAAAAACACTGAAGCCGTCTCACAGCCTCACAGGTTTGAAACGGTAATTAGTCAACAAACATTCTCCATTCTTGAATGGCCTTTTTGTACGAGGGGGTTGTATCCTGCTCGTGGATGGCATCTCTCAGAACTTGTGTTTGCAACACAGACAAGAGTGTTGCAAGACACTTTGGATACGTGAGATGAAATGCATAGTAATAGGCCAGGAGGTAGAGAGGCCCCTCGTGGAGCAAGTCTCTGTCAAATGTTAGAACTGGAGTTGTATCTACAACCACCATGCAGTTCTCCTCACCAACCAGCAAGACAGGAGTGGAAAATGCTCGCCTGTGGATGTAGGTATCTGGATCCTCTGAGGGCTAGAAAACCAAATATAAAAAAATACAGAATTTAGATTATACACACATCTGGGTGACCATTCACTTCCATAGTATTTTATGCCTACAATGGAAGTGAATGCTGACCCAGATATGTTGGGTTAACATTCTTTAAAATATCTTACTTTTGTGTTCGGCAGAACAAAGAAAGGTATATAGGTTCGGAACAACTTGTGGGCAAGTAAATGACAGAATTAAAATTTTTCTGTAAACTATCCCTTTTAAGTTACTTTTTATGTTGCATGTCCAATTTTATGTAGTGCAATTAGGATGGTTTTAACCCAGTATTTTATTGAGAGTGTATGCACATGTTAATAATTTATCACTACTGAAGTAAAACTCACTGTCAGAACGTGGAAAAGAGCCTCACTGATTGGGACCTGTTTCTTCGGTGCTGTTGAGCCAGATGGGAAGAGCAGTGGAAGGGCAGTAAAAACAGCAATGGCATGTTCAACTAGTTAAGAGGGGGAGGGGGAGGGGAGAGATTTATATCAATATCAGATATTATGTCTGTGGGTATAATCTATATCACTGGTTTCTGATCCTGGAGACCCACTGCTCTGGACATTTTGTATGTCTCCCTAACATACAGGTTAACAGACCTAATTCAGATCATAAGTTAATTAGAAAAGAGCTCAATGAACTGAATTAAGGGGCTGTTTACACAACATTCTCAACTGAAAAATGTTTTTGAATTGAAAACCACTGATCTATAACAAGGGTCCTCAACTCTGGCCCTTGAGATTAGAGTTGAGTTTAGCTCCAACCTTGATCAAACTCACCAGCCTGTAGATTTCTAGTAGGACCTAAAAAAAACACTGATTAGCTTGTTCAGGTGTGTTTGATTAGACTTGGAGCTGAACTGGACCTTGAGGGCCAGAATTGAGAACCCTTGATCTATACAGATTAAAAAAAATTAAATAAAGCTTTACCTCCATTTAATGTCCGCGGAGGCTTCATGACTTTCTTCATCACTCCATAAAACTGAACCTTGGAGTAGAAGGTCTCCCACCTGCCCTTCACCTCAGAAATGTATTTGCAATTGTCTGGCTCAATGATTCTCCGCAGTTCATCCATTGCCTGAAATAATTATTTAATAAAAAAAAAAAAAATTTAAATTTCTGTCTGCAGTTAGGTAGAGGATATGGGATATTTGTCAGTACATTTTACATCTGTCTAAAATATGCTATATCTGTGTACCCACATGGTCCAGTTCTTTGAAGCAGGGGTATGCTTGCAAAATTTTTGTTGGTTTGTCTTGCTCCTTCAAAGCATTCGAGTCAATGAAATTTCTTCTGGCCTGGAACTCCAGGTTTAATAGATGGGTTACAGCAGCTTTGTTTGGCTTTTTTGCTTTGTACATTTCTCGTAGGGTCCTGTAATGTCTTGCCTGGGTTTTCTGGCTGTCAAGGCTGTTGTCTGGAGCATCAGCTACAATTTAGCCATATAATATAATTACTGAACAAGACGCACAAAATCAACAATTCAAGAATGTATTTTACATTAAGAAATAAGGAAGAATTAGGCTTACATATATTATCAAACATTAGCTGCATTTACATGGACCCTAATAATCTGATCGTAATAGGACTAGAAGCACAATCAGAATAAAAGTCACATGTAACCACGTCAACTGGATTGAATTGGCCAGATCCGACTAAAATTTCGATCGGATTGTAAGGGTTGGTTTATTCCTTTTGTAATCCGAGCGAGAGGACATGTAAACACTTGATCGGATTGAAAACCGAAACTGGAAAGTACTGCGCATGCGCAGTGACGTAGAAATAGCATAATGACGTATGACAGGCAGAACGAGCTGTTCTTCCTGGTGAATAAAGTGTCATAAATGAGTGTCCCGTCATTATAAAACTCCCCTTTCACTCAGCATCTGTGAAGTGGAGCAGGACACATCCCACCAGTCCTTGTTTAAGACTCTCATCAATGTTAGCATCAGTAAAAATATTAGGTATTATGAAAAAGCAATAAAGAGTTTTAATGCATTTAATAACATTGGCTGATGGCAGTACTGCTGTTCATTTTTGTTCATTATCCAATAATCAATATTAGTGTATATGTTACACATGTAAATAAAAACATTATTAGTGCATGTTGTAGCATAAGGACAGATAAGTGCTGTAAAGAATGTTCTGAAATAGTTGACTAATGTCACTGAATACTAATTTATTATCGTCAACATCATAAATGATAACGCCCCACGGTGATCTCACACACAACTCACGTTTGGATATTAAAAAGTTAATAAATAAATTGAGCAATTATTAGTACAACTAACGACTAACTAGACAGCAAACTGGAAAATATGTATTATTCAGATCTCAAGAGAAAGAGACTGAACTTTGTCAAATGTTCAGTTGACTTAATTTGATTCGATTGCAGGAACGTGTTTTTTCTGTCGGAAACAGTGTGTATTCCATTACAATTCATTTTCAAATACAAGAATAAACACAACAAACAATTAAGTAATTTTAGAAATGACTAACCTTTTAGAGTGGAAATCGCAACTTCGTCGAGTCCATCCATGGTGAAAAATTGGCGGGAGGAAGTGCCTTCGTCTTCTATTGGTTCTAATTTCTAATTTCCTGTTTTTTTTTTTTTACATGTTTGGTTTGCCGGATTTAACGTTAACTTGAAAACTGCGGTTAACAGAAACATTAGTCATCGATTTTATACTCAGTATTTCTGCTGTTTAGGTACGAAATCTCGATTTAATTTCACCGGAGAAAAATGATTTGGCGCTGCGTCATTTGTTATGTATTTGTGGCTCTTACACTTAAATCTTTATTGAGTCACATTCATTTTGCACATAGTCGTAGTCCAGGTTTCCGCCTGGTTTGTGGAATAGATGGATGCACTAAAGAGTACCGAGTCTACAACTCTTTTTGGTATCACGTCAGACGAACACACTCACAATATCTAGACGGTGTGAGCAGGAGCAGATCACTTCGGAGAGAGAGATCAGTACACGAGACATCCAGCAGCAATGTGTGGGCATATAGTGGGCCTACACTGGTGGGTCAGGAAGCAGGGAACTCCAGTAACAGTCCAGATAATGAAACAACACTGGTGGCTCAGGAGGCAGGGAACTCCAGTAACAGTCCAGATAATGAAACAACACTGGTGGCTCAGGAGGCAGGGAACTCCAGTAACAGTCCAGATAATGAAACAACACTGGTGGCTCAGGAGGCAGGGAACTCCAGTAACAGTCCAGATAATGAAACAACACTGGTGGCTCAGGAGGCAGGGAACTCCAGTAACAGTCCAGATAATGAAACAACACTGGTGGCTCAGGAGGCAGGGAACTCCAGTAACAGTCCAGATAATGAAACAACACTGGTGGCTCAGGAGGCAGGGAACTCCAGTAACAGTCCAGATAATGAAACAACACTGGTGGCTCAGGA